TTCTTCAAAGCATAAAAATTTGTTCCTTAATAATTAGTAGATGTGAAAAAATTACCATTGAAATCTACCTGTGACTTTATATCCATGATCAGATGCCAAGGGTCTCAGAAAGTAACTGACTGTGGCTAGTAATAATCAGATATAAAGACAAATGCATGTGCAAACATCTTAATTGCATTAAAATGAATTTTTCTGTATGAAACTGTGTATTTTAATAATTATATGGAGATCTTTTTTAAAGGTTAAAACCTCATTCAATTTTACATCTTATAGGGCATATACTGGGTACAATATTGTATAACTGTATTAATTCAACTGTAAATCTTAAAAGTTTCAGCCAGTTTTGAAAGAGCTGCATCTTAGCTCTGCAAATTGTTATTGAATATGTCAATGCTGTTGTAATGAAAGGTTTCTTCTAATTATGTGGTTATTAAATAAATAATTTTAAAAAATGAAGAGTGGCTGCTTGGTTTCCAGCACCCACCGTTGGCTAACAAGTGTATATAACTCCAGGTCCAGGGGATCTGACAGCCTCTTCTGGTCTCTGGAGGCACTGCACAGATGTTGTCCACCTACATGCAGGTGAACCCTCACACATATAAAATAAAGATAAAAATGAAAATACAACTCACTAAAATATACAGTGTACTGGTAAGACAGTATTTACAGAGAAATTGATAACAAATGAATGCATTAGAAAAAAATCTAAAATCAATAATCCAAGCATGCTCTTTAGGGAACTAGAGAAAGAAAAACAGTGCAAGTGTAAAGAAAGTGGAAGGAGCAAAATAAGAGAACAGAAATCTCTGAAACTGGAAACAGGGAACAACAGGAAAACGTAATGGAATATAGAAAATAATCCTTTAAGAAATCTATTAGAATTTTCAAATTTCCATTCAGCCAACCAAGGAAAAATGTCACAAGGGAAAAACAGATTTTAGTAGAGCAAAAAATGTCCTTCCTCCAAGATGAACATTCTATAGAAAAACAGAATTTGCGGATGTCATCAAGAATTTTGAGACAGGGAGTTTATCCTAGCTGGTGGTGTGAGCAAAGGTTCTTATAAGACACTATGATTAAACAGTGTCTATTCCATCCCACTGAACAATCACACTGAAGTCTGTAACTTAATGCCTTCCAAACAATCCAGAGCTCTGCCCTTTCATCCAGTTGATAAAACTCTCCCCTTTCCTTTAAGTTTACAACTTCATATTTTCTATCTCTAGAAACTACTTTTCCGTCATTCGTGGCAAAGGAAGTAGGGTTAGGATTCTGCTCATTTGATTTATTAACCACTAATGACTACAACTTTCGGAAGACACGTTTTATTATATCCAGTGATATCCAGTATCTGAACCACTCATAACTTCTACTTCCAGAATCTGCATTCACTTTGGTGTGCTGATACCTCAGAAGTGCCATGCCAGGGCGTGGGCTTCCTTTATGCCAGCTTAGTTAAGGTTATCTGGATATAACACTGTCATGCATGTTAATTCACTTAAGGAAAGAGGATGTTTTGGGAAGGTCATGGGTTTATCTCAATGCAGTTAAGATTAAGGCAGAAAGCTGAGTCTCACAATGAGCTGAAAAATGAGCAAATAAAATCAGGGATGAGCTTGCTATTTCCCCCTTTGGTCTTTTGTCACTATTTATTTCACGGGAACTTTTTCTGTTATCTTCAACCAATTAATTTGTTTGCCTTTGTTGAATATATGTAGTGATCAAGCATAGCTGTTTATAATTCCAGCAAAGTATTGACTCCAAGGATTCAGACCTTAGAGTAGATTCTCAGTGAGTGAAGAAACTCCATTTCAAAGGAATATTCAATTAGACCAACTTCAACTGGGTGTTCAACTCAATTGGGACCTAGAGTTCTGTCATAAATTATAAATACCACCATCTACAGGTAAGATCCACTTCTTAGATAGGAGGAGGAGGAAGGCTTCTCATGAGATGTTTGCTTGCAGGTAATAAGACTGATTTCATTTTCTTATTGAG